TTCTTTATTTGTCATTTGTCAAGAAAGTATTATCTTTGCCATTATTTATTTTTTAAAATGGAGATGTGAGGCAGCCAAGTGGTGCAGTGGATAGGAGGAACTCAGGAGGACCTGAGTTCAAATCTGGCCTCAGACCAAACACTTGACACTTACTAGCTGTGTTACCCTGGGAAAGTCACTTAACCCCAATTGCCTAAATTTTTAAATGAAGATGGAGATTATTTCCACATATGTGCTAATACAAACACCTATTGTCCCACCTTTAGCTTTACTTAAAAGAACATTAATATTTTGAAGAGAATCTCAAGTAAAAGAGATAACTATTTAATAGACCATGTCCAGGGTTACCAACCTTAGGAGAGACCCAAGGCTTTAGAGAACATCAACATTGGGGAGAACTTATGCAATCTCTGAAAGGCACAAGGATTCTAGTGCTAAAAGCCATACACATATGATTTCATATCAACCCCATTTTACCATATTGCTAGTAAGAAGCTTCAGTGAATGGACAAACAATCTAGGGATATGAAATATGAAAAATCGGAAGAGTACTCAGACTCTCCATTTGCTGAAAGTATTTATTGGTTTATGAAAGCTTGGTTCATTGGTGCTAGAAATATTAGCCACAGAACCAGTTCATTCATTAGGCTGGAGAATGTTGCCACAGAACCCACAGTTATTTGAACTTCCCTCTTTTATTTGTGTTATATTAAAGAAAGGGGTTCCCTGACTATACTGTATTCATTCCTTTATCTCAGAAATGACCAGTTCCTTATGGAATAATTCCCACTAGTAATTATTTAAACCTCTAATTCAGTTTAATTTTAAAATTTTATTTAGTGCCTCCTATTTAACCAGTTGTTGTTCAGTCTTTTTTTAGCCATTGTGTGACTCTTCATGACTCCATTTGGGGTTTTCTTGGCAAAGATACTGGAGTGGTTTGTCATTTCCTTCTCCAGCTCATTTTGCAGATGAGGAAACTGAGTTTCCTATTTACCAGATACCCAGCTAAATGCTCAGGATGGAAAACCAAGAAGGAAATAGCTCCAGCCTTTCAAGGAGCTTACAGAGTCAACTGGTTTCAAGAGGTAGGGAGGTAGGGTCTGCTCTTGTCCCACATTTAAGCATCTCTAGTGCATGGACATAATGGACCAGGCCCAAACAGAGGCTCCTGCCTCCTCTCGGTCCAGGATGTGTTTGACTCACTCCATTCTTTCACCCTGAGAGCCTGGTGCTTTCCTAAAGCACAAGAATTCACTTAACCCTTTTAAGAAAAACAAGATCCTGTTACCACAGGGACTCCGAGTTTCTTCTCAAAACCTCATTGTGAAGGAAATGAAACTATTAAGAAACCATTGCACAGGAAATTGAATCAACTTGTTTGGAGCTGGTAAGCAGTGAAAGGCTTGAGCTGTATTAAACCACATAGTGTGAGCCTGAGCAGTGCCTGACTCCAAAATGACTTGGCCTTTCAGATGAGTCATGAGCTGCCCCATCACAACACCGCCACTTAATCTTAGAGTCTATGTCTGTCATTTAATAGCTAAATGAGTGTCGAGTCAGTGGATAAAGTCCATATTTTCTGTTCCTCTACTACCAGCGAGAACTAGCTTTTCTTACCCCACCCTTCTAAAATTACAAATAACAACTCTTCCGGTAAGCCCAGATTCTTTTCAGGGCTCTCAACTGGATGTTGAAGATAGGAACTTCCCTGGAGGTTAACCCCACTGGTGGACTCAAGGTCATTAGTTTTCAAGTGTTGCTGGGGGAGAGGTAGTAAGAAATATCATTTTGTCACAGTCAGCCTGGTCTACTGAAATCCTGTCTTTTACTGGAAGCTTTCCCCAGCCCCTCGTAATTCGAGTGCCTTCCTTCTGTTAATTATTTACTATTTGTCCTGTATTTAGTTTGCTTGTATTTATTGTTTGTATATTGGCCACATAATGTGAAGACAGGACTCATTGGAAAAAACCTTGATGTTGAGATATATTGAAGGTAAAGGGAGAAGAGAACAGCAGAGGGTGAGATGGATGGATGGTGTCATGGAAGCAAGAAACAGGAGCTTGGACAGACTTCAAGAGCTAGTGGAGGATAGAAAGGCCTGGTGTGCTGTGGTTCCCTGGGTCACAAAGAGTCAGACACAGCTGAACAACAACTTTTCTCCTCCATTAGATTTGTAAGTTCCTTGAGGGCAGGGATTATCTTTTGCCTCTTTTTGTATACCCAGAGCTTAGCACAGTGCTTAGCACATAGTAGATACTTAGTAAATGTTTATTGATTGACTGATTGATAGTAAAAGGAGCTCTGATCTTTGAGTCAAAAGACTTGGGTTCCAGTCCCAGCTCTTAGATTTAATATCTGTCTTAGACATGTCATTTAACTTCCCTGGGCCTCAGTGTCCTCTATAAAATAAGGACAAAGTCACTTGCAATAACTCAGGTTATTGTGAGGAAAGTGTTCTAAGTCAGAAATATTTATTAAAGTCCTACTATGTGCCAGCCCTAGGGATGCGGGGGGGGGGGGGGGGAAGGTGTAAGACAGCCCTAAGCTAGGGAAGTGGGGCAAGATTACCTGTGGGGTCATGATGTAGTCATGCAACCTGGGTGAGAAGTGATCAGAGGAGCTATGTTTCTGAGTTTGATTTCATCTTGCAGAATGACTTTCTGGAACTGATGAAGTCCAGAAAAGTGGCTGGCCGGGGAAATGATGAGGAGAATTCCCTGGGTACCATCCTTAAATAGTGGCTCTTTAACATTAAAGTGCTAAGTAAACATGATATGTATACACACATATGTTATTACTAAGACACAGGTCTCTTCCCATCTGCTATCCAAATGGACTATAACTCCTCCAATCCTCAGCTGGAGTATTGACTTTTAGGGTGACCTCTTCCTCCTTCTCTCTTTTCACTACTTATTATCTAATTATTTAACAGCTTGTGATGAAAGGCATAGGTCAGGTAAGAAAAGGAAAGAAACGTAAGGGCCAAAAGTGTAGCTTGTGGCCATAGTTTTGAGTTGGTATGTCTTAGTACAACACACATACCTTCAGCCACGACCAGAATAGGCATTTCCACATCTCTTTCCTTACTTACTTCTCAGATGATATATAACACATTATTATTTCAGGACAGATGTTTCAGGACATCTTTTTCATCGGGTGTTTCCCATGCCTGAAATACTCTCTTTTCTCATCTCTGCCTCCTGATTTCCTTCAAGTCCCAGATAAAAATCCCATCTTCTACAAAAAAGCCCTTTCCAATCCCCCTTAATGCCAGGGCCTTCTCTCTATTGCTTAACTCCAATTTATCTTATCTGTATCTTCTTTGTACATAGTTGTTCAACATATTGTGTCCCCCCATTAAGCTGTGAGCTCCTTGAGAAAAGGAACTGTCTTTTGCCTTTCTTTGTATCCTCAGTGCTTAGCACAGTGCCTGGCACATGTTGTTAAAATTTTTCAGTCATGTCTGGTTCTTCGTGATCCTATTTGGGGTTTTGTTTGGCAGAGATACTGAAGTGTTTTCCTTCTCCAGCTCATTTTACAGATGAGGGAACTGAGGCAAACAAGGTTAAGTGATTTGCCCAGGGTCACACAGCTAGGAAGTGTCTGAGGCCAAATTTGAAGTCAGGAAGATGAATCCTGCTGACTCCAGGCCTGGCATTCTATCTACTGTGCCACCTAGCTGCCCATCTATGAGCCTGACACATAGTAGGTACTTAATAAATCTTTATTGATTGTCTGCTTGTGAAGCAAGGAAAAGAATGAGGTAAAGCACATCCGCCACTGATGCGTCTTATCCAGCAATGAGAGATTTGTTTCAGGAGAAAATCAAAAGAGTCAGCTCAAATGAGGGGTAGAGGTAATCTGTTGATTTCATGTATCCATTTTCCCTGTTCCATATTAATGTGTTTGGTGCCACTGCTACTTCTCTCATGGTTATTACTCAGAATCATGTGTGTGTCAGAAGTTCATGCTGCTTTAGTAACTAGCAGTTCTCTAGCTTATCTTGCAGTGAATGGAGTCTTTTAGTCCTCTTGACCCAAATAGATTTAGTTCTTCCATCAAGGACTGTTTCCCACTTAGTCCTCTTTTCTTTCAGGAACTCCCTCTTTCGTGCACATGAGGTTGTCATCACAGTCTTTTGCTTCATTACTCCGCAGTACACAGTGATACTTGTTGTATTCATGTCGTTGTTGTTACTGTTGTTCAATCATTCATTCATGTCCAACTCTTCGTGACTTCGTGGACCATACCATCCATGGGGTTTTCTTGGCAAAGATACTGGAATGGTTTGGCCATTCCTTTCTCCAGTGGATTATGTTCGTATAGATGCATAAAATACAGGGAGTCCCCGAAGTAAAATACAGGATGTATAGAGAGAGGAATAGTGTCATACACTTGAATCCTAGGCTCCCAAGCCAAACTTTGTGAAGGTCCCAGCCACAAGGGGCCTTTCTCTATTTGGGTCCCAAGCCCAATGGGAGCTACTTGTAATTCAGCCTCTTCCAAGAAAGTAACAGCAGCACCTTGTGGAACTAGAGATCCTCTAGAACCCTCATGGGCAGCATTTGTTTCCTTTGCTTTCTCTTAGAGCTAGAGCTGGCAGTTTGAGGGAGCAACTGAGAGCGGAGAAAGTTTACATTGTGCCGAAGTTGCAGCTCTGCTTGCCCGAGGATACTAAACATGAACATGCCAGATATTCTTTTTTTTAATATTTTCCTGCCTCATGCCTGAAGGCTAGCTTCTGCAACTCCAAGGAGTCAGACTGTTGAGCAAGAGAGAGGACCAGAGAAGAACAATTGAATCTGCTCTCCAGAAAAGTACCAAGAAAATCTCCTAAGCAATTCTTCTCCAGGGGGAAGAGAGAATCCAGCCAGAAGTTCCTTTCTTTCCACTTCTATCCCTCCCCCTTCCCCCCTACCAACCTTTAAAAACCTATATATAGATTTGGAAAATTGGTATAAACATGAACTCTTAGACATAATGTTTTATTTTATTAGGCTGGAATGAAATACAGAAACCTTATCCTGAAGCCTGGGGGATCACAGGACGGCATGGACATGCTCCGAAGGTTCTTGAAACGTGAGCCAAACCAAAAGGCATTCCTAATAAGTAAAGGCCTGCACACTCTGTAAAACTGGGAATCTTTTGTAGCATTCACGTCTGCGAGACACATGGATGTTTCTTGGTGTTTTTGGACATTAAAACAGGAGAGGATATCACACCTGAAAATATGTAGAGTTCTGTCAGTCTCATTTTATTTAAAAAGCACAAACTTAACCACTGAATTCTCCACCCACCCAAAAAAAATGTAATTGTAGGAACAGCCTATTAGAAAATAATCATAGTTATAAAAACAGCATTTAAGTACATATGGGAACTTCTTTTTATAAAAGTTTGATAAGATTTATAATTTGTTTTTTTTTAAATTGTAATCTAGGTAATGAACATGTGAGAAACCTGACAATTTTTAAATTGAAATTAATATATATTGTTCGATGGTTTATTTAATCCATTCTTCCATTTTGAAGTTTTGTACATGTGGTTTTTGTGAATACAGACGAATATTCATATCATTCTCTTATGTTGTAAATATTTCCTTGGGGCTTTGAATCAACTTTGACTGGATGTTTACCAGTACAGAGGTATGGCCATTACCTTGGCTATCATTCAGAGCCAAAAGTATCTGCCTCAGTGACATATTGGTCACCCTTGCACACCAGACCTCATCTTTTCCAACTTTGTGCTACACTTGTTTGGATTATGTGCTGCAGTTTGGGTTTGGCCACAACTTAGATCCTTTCATCTCTTCTCTTCCCCCGCCCCTCCTCACTTTTTCTCCCTTTTTGTCTGAATTTATTTCAGTCAGGATATTCCAGGTAATACTTGAGTTATGTCACCTTGGGCCAAATATAGATCACAGACTCATGTCCAGGATGTCTTTGCCAAACTGCTGTAACACGAGACTTGTAATCATGTTCTTTGGTTGTCAAAGTAGTAGCAAGCCCAAATAAGTTTTTCTGTCGTAAGAGGAGGTGGTAAGGGACCTGCTCTAAGAAACCCTGCAGCGTGGCAGATGGACCTGTCTTGATTTAGGTGTGGTAAATGGAGGGAAATGGTGTCAAAGCAAAGATTTCAAGAGCTCTAGAGGAGGAAGGGAAGCAACGGGCCAAAAAGTTGGAGAACTACTGCCCTGGTGTTGTTCTTTCTCACATGAACGCTAAAGAGAAATCAGATATGCTTCACAAATCTGTCTCATCTTTTGATTTTTGTCACCACTCTTCAACGTCTTTCCTTTGGTCACCATGAAACACTCCTTTACCCAAGTCCTAATTCTCCATTGCATCTACGGACAGACAGTACTTTTTTCCTATACCCCAAAGAAAGGCTATCCATGATCATCTTGATTGGAAAGTGAATTTGAACTTGTAGCACAGATTCACTTCCCTGGCTACTGTAAGTAGATTCAAGATGAACTTTCAGTCTAAAGAGCTAGATGAGCTTTTGGGATCATTTCCCTCAGCTACTTGTGAAAGAAGCTCCCATGGAAAGAGTACTATAAATACATAAAGGCACAAATGCAGAGGCCCTGGATTCAGATCCGGCCTCTGCTATTCCTCCTGTGGCTGGGTCGTTTAATGTCTCTGGGCCCCAGTTCATCGTTTGTCAGACGGAGAGTTCAGACTAAATGGCCTCTCAAGGTCCCTCCTGGCTCTAACTCTGAGATCCTTTGAGCCTATGAACTAAGATTAAAATATGACATTTGTTCCAACTGCTTCCCAGCCTGAACTGAGGAGTTAATTATCCTCCTGGCTCAGGACAAAATTTTATCCTATTTTATCCTAAAAAATTTATCCTTCAATACCAGTGTTACCTACTCACACTAACAAAAAATCCCTATCAAGAAACATGGATGGGCAAATGTTGCAGAGCTCCAGAAGGTAGTAACAGGTCTATTAAAGACAAGCCTATTCCAAGAATACCCTCTTGGAACCCTAGCCTTCCTGGCTTTTCTTTCCACTGCACAGAGGCAGCCAGAGTGCTAGCACTTGCCAAATTTTGGCCTCCCAGAACCCTTTTGCCATCACCTGGGATTTCATGGTATCCTGTTTTTACATTTCAGCTGAAAACTCTCTTCACTCTTTTCTGTTCTCAAATATCTTTTCCCTTTGCTTTCTTTTTTTGTTACATTATTTCATAGGAGGGAAAAAAAGTAGATAATTTGTATGAAAGAGATTGCGCACAGTGAAATTGTATCATGACGCACAAGAGAGAAGCATTCCTATAGCTGCCTTGTTATGCATGTGAGACTAGAGCGTGTAGGACCATAACCCCTTACGTTGCATTTCTCATTTTGGATCCATGCCTGATTTCAAAAGCTTAAAAAAGGACAGTTTATGAAACCACATCTTCACAGAAAGTATTCTTTAGCATGATTTAGGGAGAATAGAATTAAAGGTTTATTTTAAAAGACCATTTAAAATACAGCAATCCATCTGTTCATTCTTATTTCCAGATCAGAGTATATAGTGTCCTGGAGGCCTTCTGAATAGCAGATAAACATAGAAATTGCAATTCGGCAAACATATTCTACTGATTTATGAACTGAGCCACATATAACAAAGTCTCTCTTGGTTACCTATTCAGGCAATTCCAGCCAGATCTAGGTCTTTAAAGACCTTATGTTGTCCAAGAACAAGGTCTAAGCCATCACATATTTATTAGTTGGGAGTCTAACCATGGTGGCTAAAGAGTTCATTTTAAGGTGCTGAAGAAAAAAATTAAAAGTTCAATGTTATGCTCAATGGTACATGTTTTCTCCTCTAGAATAAATGTCAACTCTGTAAGAATAATAGAAGAGTTCCTGCTTAAAAAGTTCTCACCTGAGCTGTTTATAGCCAAGAACTTTCAGCTGTCTGGAACAGTTAGAATGAAAATCATAGACCCTGGACTCTTTGGTCCTGACATATAGCACTATATAATAAATGAAAATTGAGTGGACAGTGTGACTGGTGGAAAAAAATATTTATATTTTCCTGTAATTTAAAAGCCTTGACTTTTAGAAAGAGACTTTAATTTTCTGCTTTCTTGTTTTGCCTTTGGCCTTCATATGTGAATTAATGGCACACAGTGGTCTTGCATGCCCATTGAATCAGCAGGTTTGAATGCCGTTAGTTTTTCTTCTGTTCTGATGTGGAACTTTCCTAGCTCTGAGGCTAGCCAGTACATGAAAATGCCTGACCTCCTCAGTTAAATATAGTTAACAGCCCAAAGGGTGTTAAAAGTGAAACTCTATCTGCTTTGAATGAATTCGGTGAACAAGAATTCTTTCTTTTCAACATACCACAGCCATATTATACCTATATATCTCCTATCTGAAATAGGACCCTTGGAAATTGGATATTCATTCTATTATGAAAGTTTGTCGAGATAAAAGTAGAAGAGGCTGGGTACACTCATTTCTTTGAAAGACAAATATCCAAAATTGACTTAGAATTATCTTTAGAAAAATTTCCACTAGAAATGTGTCCTTCTTTCTGAATAACATTCTAGTAAACACTGTATTAAGGTATAAAGTAGGTTTGTAAGTTCTTAAACATGAGCTACAAATGACCTCTATCATCACATCTAGACCATAAACCTCAATATATTGCAGTTGGATTGAACGAGATGTCCTCTGGGGTCCCTTCCAACTCTCAAATTTTATGATTCTGTAATATTAATGTGACAGAACATTTGAATCATCTTTTTTTTTCTTTTAAAGAAAACACTAAGGGTTGGGAGAGTGAATTCCAAAAGTTATGGGTTAGTTTTTGTGTTGTTTTTGCAGCATACTATAGCTCTGAAATAATACTGCTCAGGAAAAATGTCTTTGTGCTACATCTCTACAATGATACATAATAAATATTTGAGCCTACTGGTGTGGTTTGAGCATGAATTAGTTTCCCAGCCACAATTAACTACTGATTATCCAGAGGTAGATTAACTGTACTATAGATAATCTGGAACTAAAGGGAGGAGACTGAGGGCACATGGGATGCATTCATAAGGATTTACATGATGTCAGGATTTACCATTCTGCTCCCCACACATCAAAACAATTCTAATAAAGTCTAAGATTATCATGTACTTTTTTTCAAAAGGGCCTTTTGTGAGAAAAAAAGATGCATTCTATGGCAAGGGTAAGATAACTACTTTTCAGATGAAGCTGTTACAAAATGCATGGGTGAGATATTCTTTTCATACCTGCCAGGAAGAGATTTCCACAGCAGGAAGCTCTTTATCTGCATAAAACAGAGAGGTTTTCTGCATAGGCATAAGCATGGAAGCAGTGACCTTTATTTTAGAAACAGGAAAATATGATCCTGGGGAATACTGCTTGATCAACTAGGATGGTGCTTTGCATATAGCACATTTTCAGACAATATTAGTAGAGCGGAATTAAATTGAATTCTGAGAGTCTACTTCTTCTGTCTGAGTATAAGAGAAATTGCTTTTAATCCCCAATTCCCTTTATCCATTTGCAAAAAAATTTTAAAAATAAAAAAAATATCCATTTGCTTTCCTGTTAATTCTAAAAACTTAGTGAATTCTATTGTAAAATTGAACTCTAAAATCCCAACTTTTTTACATAATTACCATAATACTACTAACAGTGATTAAAACTCTACCATCCCCGTTCCCACCCCCCAAGAGCTGCTTTTGTTTTCTTTTTTATAATGTTCTGGCTGGCTGAGTTGTGTTAGAATATCAGCTGTTTAAGCACAGGGGGCTATTTCTGTTTGGTTCTTCAAATGCCTAACACCTAGCACAGTGCTTCGGATGTAGTGCCACTTAATAAATGCTTATTGCATTGAATATTATTCAGAAATTTCTTAGATCTTAAAGTCAAGGGGTCAGCAGACCAGAAATAAAAACATCCATTTTTAAAAATCATATTTACTATTCTGGGAAATCAGTTGGTTATGAGGTACATTTTTTATTTAGCTATTTTGGTGAATGTCATGGAGCTCCTCCTAACCTGTTGTTCAGCTGTTTCAGTCATATCTTACTCTCTGTGACCCCATCTGGGGTTTTCTTGGCAAAGATAATGGTTTGCCATTTCCTTCTCCAGTTCATTTTACAGAGGAGGAAACTGAGGCAAACAGGGTTAAGTAACTTGCCCAGGATCACATAGCAAGTGTGAAGTCATGAAGATGAGTCTTACTGATTCGGAGCCCAGTGCTCCATCCACTGTACTACCTAGCTGCCCTGCTCCTAACCTATTAATTATCCAATAAACATTGCATAAACCTAAAAAATTAGCTTGCTGAGATTTGTGTAGAGGTGCTCAGAGTAAGCCAAGGAGCTTTACCACCACTGACCTACTACTCCATATATTACAGCTAGTAACAAGAAGTGATAAAAAGGAAAAGCATACCTTAGTGTCAATTATATGTACCTTTCTTAAGCTTTTTATTAGTGTGTAGGTTTAGCTATCCCCTGAGCTTTCCCCTTTTGTGCTTTGAGAGCCATACAAGAATTTTTAACAACCCAGAATATATACATGGCAAGAGCTTGGAGGGCAGGCTTTTCTCAGAGATTCCCATAAGGGCTCTGAATTTAAACTTATTCTTCCCTTCTCTGGTTTCTTTGTCCATAAATTTGAATAATACCTTTTAGCTACCCTACCTTCTTCAATTATTAAAAATAGTATCTGTCCTTTTAGCATTGTTTAACATCATGACGTTGATTACATGATTACAACCAAATAGCGCTCTTATTACTACAAAGTCTTTCTAGGTAGCAGAGAATAACTTGGTCTTTCATAAGGTCCAAGAGGTATTAGAGAGAAATCAGGAGGAGTGTCCATTCATGACCAAAAGTTATAAACAGGAAATAGTGCGGCTGCTTTTGTGTTACCTTTCCCCTCTCCTTCAAGGGCTGGAGTGATTCCTCTGGCAAGAATTTACTCACTCCCCTTTCATGATTGAATTGGAGTTAGCAGAACTGTGTGACTTCATACAAGAATATGAGAATAGTAAGTTCCAGTCTACTCAAATCAGAGTGGGAGAAACCAAAAGAGCTATTTTGCCCTCCCAGTTACAGATCAGATCTGCCTTTTCATAGTATTAAATATTTGTGTGGCTGACAAGTGGAACTTTTATTGTAATGAACAATGCATTCACTGTTCTCAAAATGCACATGGCCCACTCTTGCTCAGCTTCAATTATTAGGGCTCCAGCCAGAGCCTTTGAAACTGTTCTTTCATATACAGTCCCACTGTCAGGGACCAGAAGAGGAGTGCTCCAGTTGGGAGCAGGTAATGGTAGTAAGAGATGGCTTTTTTCTTCCATACTTCAAGCCCTTATATTTCCCAGCATGGTCCCTTTTTTGTTTCATTTGGGGGCAGTTAAAAAAAACTGTCTTTCCTCCTGTTAAATTTTTATGGAAGGTGACTAAGCAGCCCAGTGTCTTTCTGAGGTCTTTTCCCAAGAGTAGGTAAAATGAAAGTAGTTTAATGGGGAACTTGTGTGAACCAAAGCAGTACTCAGTTCTTCAAATCCCTGTCTTTCATTTCAATAATGATTTTACAGGGCAATTGCATAATGTGAAAATAACTAGCATTTTGGGTTACTTATACATGTGTGTGTGTGTATGTGTATATATATATGTATATATATATATGTGCATATGTACACACACATACATGTTAGCTCATTGACCTCCTCAAGCTCAATTGTTTTTGGTTTGTTGGGTTTTTTTTCCATTTTAAAAAGAAGGCATTTGAACTAGATTAATGACCTTTTGAAGTATATTCTCTCTCTCCCCCCCTTCACACACACACACACACACACACACACACACACACAGAGCAATGATTTTTTTTTTTTTACTTTTTTTTGCCAAATAGTCAGGTGGTCTCACACATGTTTAGGCTTCCCTTAGAAAACCCGTTCTAATCTGTTTTAGGAAATCCCGATGACTGCCACCTGGTTAACTTATTTATGGAAGTTCAAAATGAATAGCTAGTTAAAAAACCAGTTTGGTTTCCAAAGGCAGTGTGCACCTGTATTAACCTGAACTTCAAAATAGACTTGATTGGCTCTTCAGCTTCCCTGATTAGTCTTCAGCATCCTATCAGGGTGCAGCTGGGGAATAATAGCACAGCAACAAATTGTTTTCCCCTGTGCCAGTGTACAAAATGTCAGTCCACCCGCTGCATTCCTTTGGGATAATAGAAATGAAGTCATTGCATTAGAAAGTGAATCATGTGCCCAGTGTAAACTGCCTTCACCCTGGGAACAATGAGGCGCTCCCAGGTTAAGGTCATGCATCCAGCAGCTGAGAGGGTGACCTAGTGAGACAGAAACACTGGGGCATGCTGGCATTTTGGTGAAATTTAAGATAGGGACTGAAGGCAATAATTGTCAATCAAGATTTAGTTCCTAAGAGGAAGTGATGATGACAGGAAAGATAAGGTGAACATAAGGTACAAAATCTATACAGTAATTGCAGGTGGAGAAGAAGAAGGTCAAATTTGGGATTATAGAAGAACTAAAAGTGACCTCAGGGCCCATTCAGTCCAACTTCTTCATTTTTACAAATGAAGAAAGTCAACAATTTTTTTTTTAGTTTTTCTTCTCAATTACATGTAGAAACAATTTTAACATTCTTGTGGGGGGGGGAGAGAGTGTGAGGAGATAATCAGGGTTAAGTGACTTGCTTAGGGCCAGACAGCTAATAAGTGTCTGAAGTGGGATTTGAACTCAGATACTCTGACTCCCTGGCTGGTGCTCTATTCACTGTACCACTTAGCTGCCCCTAACATTCGTTTGTTTTTTTTTTTAATTTTAGGTTGAAATTCTCTCCTTCCCTCCATTTCTATCATCCCTACTCAGTGAGAAGGCAAGCAGTTTGATGTAGGTTATACATGTGCAGTCATGCAAAACATTTCCATACTAGTTATGTTAGGAGAGAAAACACAGACCAAAAAAAACCCCAGTAACAAATAAAGTTTAAAAAAGTATGCTTCAGTCTTCATTCGGGCTCCATCAGTTCTTTCTCTGGAGATAGATAGCATTCTTCATCATAAGTCCTTCACAATTGTCTTAGACTATTGTATTGCTGAGATGGTCAACAAGCATTTATTATGTACCTAGTATGTGCCTGACTCTTTCAGGTCAGAAAACCAATAACCATGATGCTATTTTACAGAAGGTATTGTTTCATCTTGAGTTTCTGCTACTAATGTTTTAATTCAAACTAAATTAAAGGAAGCCATCATCATTCAGAATTACTGTAAGTTAAAGAATTTTATATCTTCTATAAAGAATTTTTAGGGCTTTTTAAAATTTAAGTTAATTATACCCAAAGGGCTACAAAACCATGCATACCTTTTGACGAAGCAATACCACTACTAGTCTGTATCCCAAAGAGAAAAATAAAAGGAAAAGCACCTATATGTACAAAAAATATTTATGGTAGCTCTTTTAATGGTGGCAAGGACATGGAAATTGGGGGTATATCCATCAATTGGGGAATGGCTGAACAAGCTGTTGTATGTGATTGTGATGGAATACTATTGTGCTATAAGAAATAATGAGCAGGATGATCTCAGAAAAACCTGGAAAGACATACGTGAACTGATGCAAAGTGAAATGAGCAGAACCAGGAGAACATTGTATATAGTAACAGCAATATTATATGATGATCAACTGTGAATGACTTAACTATTCTTTCTTTTTCTTTTTTTGTCTTTGTTTTCTTTCATAACATGACTAACATGGAAATATGTTTTGCATGACTGCATATGTATAACCTATGTCAAATTGCTTGTCTTCTCAATGAGGGGGAGCAGGGAAGGAAAGTAGGGAGAAAATTTTAAAAAAAACAAATGTTAAAAATTATTTTTACATGTAATTGGGGGAAATTTTT